CACTCAAGTGACAGCAATTTACAAGAAGTAAAAGACCAACTTTTATTCTACAGCCTGAAGAGGCAGCGGATGGGAATCCTGACTTGTCATTATTTTGAGAAGGATTGTTTACGAAGCCAGCAAGGTTTAAAAAAAAACCCAAAACTTAAGATGAAGTTGTTACGACGTGAGCCGGAGACCTTTTTCCTACCAGAAGAATGGAGACCCATAATGGCAACAAATGATGAAGCCGCTGACATTTTTCTCACACCTCTTTTCCTACATACCAAAGAGATGAAACAGACTGCTCTTGCTGAACTAATGCCTCTTCTCTTCCGCTGGGATGAAATTAGGAAAGACCAAGTACAGCTATTAGACTACAATTGCCGACTCATTTTGGATTATGTTACTCAATTTCCCTCTAAGCGCACAAGAGGCTTCCAACAATAGTATTAAATCTCAACAGAGCTGTGAAAAATTCCAGTTCAATGGAGAAGGGGAAGTGCTTCAGAATGTGTCGAGAATAAAAGCAGCACCTTCACTGCAGCGGCCACATCTGTTTCCAGATTTGCACAGTTGCTGCTGGGAGGCTTCCGCAGCAGCCACCCACTCATGGAAACGGGGCAGCTGCTTTAATGAGTCACATATAGATGCTACATCTGTGCTCCTACGCAGCCTGAAGTACTTACTCCAATCCGAGGCATACAGAAGCCTAATCATAAAAGAGCTCATCACGGAGTTTGGATGCAAACTTATGTAGACGTAAACTTGCCAAACTCTTGTTTATTTATCTGGATTTCCCAAACCCCCTACGGACTGAACAGAAGCTAGATACAACTCAGACCTTTCAAAACACTGGAAGATGATGACCATTCTTTGGGAAGAACGTCAAGCCCAGAAGAACCCTGCAAAGCAGAGAGGCTCTCTCTCTCTCTCTCCACGCCTCAGTCCTGACTGGAATTGCTGGAAGGAAAACTTGACCCAGCACCCGAAGTCCCAACTTTCAGAAATAGTCCTGAATCTCATGAGCGCTGGCAGTGAGAAGTTGCTGAGTTATTAAGGAGGATCAGGACTGATCCTATTGCAGTTGTAGGACTCAGCCCAGAATCTGACTCACTGCCCAGTCTAACCGTGCTCCCATTCTCCACTTTCCAAAAAGACAGGGGATCAATTGTCCTTTGCCAGCCCTTCAAGTGTGCCAGTCTGGTCTCATGAACTGCCCCCATGAGTGAGCCACAGAAGCCTCCTTCCACACAAATAGTTTCTACTGTCCAGAGAGGTTTATCACAGCTTCTGAGCAATCCTGCTTTCCAAATAAAGGTAGTTCTCGACTTACGCCCATTCGTTTAGTGAGGGTTCGAAATTACAATGACACTGAAAAAAGGGACTTATGACCATTTTTCACACTTACAAACCACTGCAGCATCTCCATGGTCACGGGATCAAATTTCAGACGCTTGGCAACTGACTCATATTTATGACAGTTGCAGTGTCCTCTGATCCCCTTTTGCAACCTTCTGACAAGCAAAGTCCATGGGGAAGCCAGATTCATTTCACAACTGTGTAACTAACTTAACTGCCGTGACTCACTTAGTGACTGTGGCAAGAAAGGTTATAAAATGGGGTCAAACTCACTTCAAACTGTCTTGCTTAGCAACAGAAATTTGGGTCTCAATTGTGGTCATATGTTGGGACTACCTGTAGCAGGCAGTACCTGCATCACCAAACATCTTATATGCAGGCTGAGGAATTCTGGGAGTTGGAAGTCCACAAATCGTAAAGTTGTCAAGTGTCTATGGAGATTCTCAGTCATCCAGGTCGAAGTTGTCCCAAGGGTGCTTTTTTTCAAGAGGCAACTGGACTTTCCATTTTTTTCTTTGAAGATGTTTCATCAGGAAGCTTCTTCAGCTCTGACTGGATGGTGGGAGAAGAGCCGAAGTAGCTTCCTAGCTGAAAAGCAAAACATCCTCAAAGGAAAACCAGAAAGTCCAGTTGCCTCTTGAAAAAAGCACCTTTGGAGTAACGTTATCAAGGTTGGAGAGCCCGATATAAACAGCAGAGCCCCAGGAGGTGAACATTTCTAACGTTCTTCTTACATGTTTTTATCCAATAGAATTGCTCTCATTCTCAGAGCTGTTATTTTCCCCAAATGTAACAAGCAGCTACATAAAAGATGGTAATTTTACAGGATAAACTGTAAAAAGTAAAAGGAAGTATTGATGTTTTAATAACGTTGCTGTCCTAGTCACCTTTCTCTCATCAGCTATTTCCCTTTTTTCACAGATAGCCTGCCACAGGAAGCCGATCAGTTAGTCTTGATGTTATCTTTGGTACCTGAACACTTAGCCAAACTATGCCTGGATCATATTACACAAAGTAAAGCTTCAGGCCATGATGAGTCAGAAGGAAAATAATTATTTCATGTTCTTGATTTTTTTTTTTTTAGGTAGCTTGTGGCAGGCCCAGCAGCAATTTTCGTGTATTGTCCTTATCAACAGAACTTTTTAATGAATCTACTCTGATTCACATCATCTAGACGTTTAGAAGTTTCACCACTGAAAATATCTCATGCAATAGTTCAGCCTCTGCAACTGTTTTCACCAAAAGTGGACGAGGAATTTCTGGATCCAAGGTTTCAATACAGAGACATATTGAAGAGTTTCCTGCATTATTATTTTATGATAAAGTACTTGGAATATATCAATTGTGCATTTACAATTGCACGCTAATTTCTAATTAAGGAATTCTATTCCGAGGCAGACAGGTGAACATTGTGAAGTTGTATACATAAATTCTACATACAGGACAAGGTTAATTTATTCAAGCACAAAGTGCTTTAATGTGCCACTTCTGTTAAAATGAACAATTCCATTCATTAGGCTACGTGTCAAGTTTAGAAAACCTGCTGCACATAACTAAATGATACAATATATAGGTAGTAAGCAGTTAGCCTTTACTGTTCTTCATGCTAGAATAATGCTTGCTGCTTGAGCCATAGTTAAGGGCACAGTGCACAGAAATGGGAAAATTGTATTCACTGAATTATTTCTCTTTCACACACACCATTAGGAACACCCTTTTAAGCCCTCACATATAACATTGGGCAAGATAACTTTTGAGTATTCCATTGTCAGATAGTAAAATATATATATTATGAAAGAAACACAAAGGAACCAGCAGGAGACATACTTAATATTCTGAGATTACAGGTGCCATAATTACTATACTGTATTTATAAAACCTGCTGACATCCACTATTAATTCAAATAAGTAATATCTTAATGTCAATTGGAAATCACATAAACCAGAGAAAAATATCAAAAGGCCAATTATACTGCAATGCATGTTTTAGCTGCTTTCTTCTTCCACAAAGCCAATAATATTGTATAAATAACAACAGCAAAACCTTAATTAACAGATAAGGCACTATGATTGTCCCAATATATTTATGAAGAATAATAAAGCTTAATATTTCATTACAGGACTTTGTCAAACCCTAGAAGAAAAGTAATAATAACCAGAGCTGCTTCATAGTTTTTTCTCTTCTGTTCAGATTAAAACAAAGTAAAAAATCCCACAACAAATTAAGTGAACACACTGAAAATGAAAAAGGGCAATTGTAAAGTAGGTTTAATTACAGTATGTTTACAAGCAATGCATCCCCAAAGTTTAACATTGCCAATTTAAAAGCTTATTTCAAAAGTGGTAGTCTTAGCAGACTAGTTTTTAAAGAAAACTTTCATTTAACAAAATGTTCTCAAAGCTATTAATTACAATCACAAAGATGAGCATAGTCACTTACAAAAGTACACAAGGATTTCTCACCAATACAATCCATAATATGCACAGTTTAGCTCCAGAATCCTAAAAATGCAATCCATCACCAAACCAAAGCTTGCTAGTTGTGCAACCAAAAAAGAATTTGGGGCTAAAATATTAAGGGGTGGTTTTCCATGTAAAAATTCATTTCAAATTGAATATACCATTGAAAAATGATTGATTGTATTTTAGAGTTCTGCTATTAGCTCACAATTTCTACTTGTCACTAGTTTTTCTTCTGATTTTTGAAGGATTGGTAAAATAGAGAATATACAGGCATTAAAGAAGCACATATGTCTAGAGAATTATAAGCAAATTTATCTTTTACATTTTACATTACTCAATACTGAAGAACAATAATTTATTTTGTTCCTAAATTAGGTTGAAAGTAGCTCACTCTAGGTATAGTTAATCAAATACATTCTGTGCAGATTTTATCTACTGTAACCATGCTAAGCATTTTGATAGGCAAAACATAGAAATGTTAGGCAAAAGCAGACCAATGCAATTCTGTGGTTCTAAAAACACACATATATTTTCAAATTCAGGGCGGGATTATTTTCAGTGATGTCTTTTGAAAGAAAAACTAATATCATTATTTGTGTTTTCCAATATGTACTCTTTTCTACAAGATTTTCCTATGTCTGTTGAGATGAGTTGCCATGTGTTAAGCTGACTATCAACTGAAATCTTTTGAATGCTGAATTGAAATCTGACCGTTCTGAATGCTGTCAGAAATACCCTAACACATACCATTGCTATTTGTTGACATCCAACCAAAATCTTTGCATGCTATGTATATTTCACTCTTCAGCAAAAGGAGTATTACCCAGAGTTATAGAGGAAACCATTGTAGTTCTTAAGGATAATATTGTGTATACGGATTTTAAACAAGGTCCGATAATGAATATACCTATCTAAAGGCCACTGGAGATAACACGCTCCTGACAAGCAGAAAAAAAATATTCTTTATAAACAGATACAAATTCATCTACAGAACTGTTAATGTGGGGCTTCAGAACATTTTGTAGATAGCACGGACAATTTGCTGAGAAACAGCAGTTTCAGACAACCAGTCTCCATAAACATGGATATGTGTAAGACATAGCACATACATTCCACATAATGCTTTAAAGTTTTGGGGTTTTAAAACCTCTGGAAGACAGGCCTAGAGGGCTGCCATCTACCCCTTTTGTCCTTACCTTGCCTCCTTCTCTTTCAAAGTCAACGTATTCTCGGGTTGGTGTTTGCCGCTGCTCCCCCTGCCAGCTGGCCGGAAAAAACTGGAGAGACAGATTGGTTCCTGTGGCCACAAAAGCCTTTTAGAAAAATCAATACAAACAGGATCAGGGAGCAAGACATTACATAAATTATGCAAGCACTCATTTATTTTTACATCAGTTTATGTTTTAAAGCTGAACTGCATAGAGAATACTTGAAAGTCCAAAACATGCACTCATCATTTTTCTTAAGTACAAAGTTACAAACATCTGATTTCATTTTGACAATATTTGCTATAGATTGCTGGATACTTATAGGGAATCAATACTTTCATTATAAACTGTTCTTGGAGACGTTAAAATTCAAAGTACTGTCTGAAACTCCTGCATGACTTTTTAGCACTCAAATGTTCTCCTGCTCTTGGTAAGTTTATAAAAAAGCACTTTCAGTCTGCTTTACTACTCTGAATCTTGTGGGGAGCTGGTACAGAACAGCAAGCAGAAGGTTGAGCATTTTTTTACTGAAACCTCTGTCAATTTCAAATTCTTTCCATCACTCACACAAATAGAGGAACACAAGACTGATGCATATTGCACAAGCTGACTAGAGGAACTCCAACAGCAGGAAGGAAAATGAACGCAGATATTGAAAGTAACATTTTCATTAAAACATTGGTTCCAAATATGCTGCCAGAAATATTAATTAACCCCTTTCAATCGAAGTCAGTAATTTGTATATATGTAAATACAGCTGTATGTGTTTCTTCAAAAACTGAAAGCCAGGATCAAAGCAAACTATATGCCAGAGGAAACCAAGCAAACACAAATAGTCTCAAAATGCAGATAGTGGTGCTTTAAGGAATCAACTTGAGAATAAAACAGACTTTGTAAGTGAGCAAACCATTTGCCAGAATAATTCTTCTAACAGCAAAGTCGGGTGGCTGTGTATCTATCTTAAATCAATATGATTCCAAGAAATAAATCAGTAGCCTCCCTTGAGATTCAATACTTCCTTAAGGGGTTCTTTAGGTATTAATATCACAGATGGGATGAGAAGAAAATTAGAAATCCCATTCATATTTTTTTTTCAAAATATACAGAATATTTATTGCACGTGCAAAAAACAGATAGCTAGAGAGAACTTTACATCATTTAAATTTACCATTAAGTCTGATCTCCTCCCCTCTGCATTTTTTTTTTTAAAAAAGATTTGTTTCCAATCTGAATTATATTTTTCATTTTTTAATTTCTGGAAATGTGGGAGCAAGGGTGAAAAGAATCAGAAATAATCCAGTTTGTGTTAACTGCAGCAAAAGAAAATAGCTGAATATAGTTAAGCCAAACACTACAGAAATATGTTTATGCTCAGAAGACTATAGAAATGGATGCTTTAGGAAAAGGCAGCACTTTGATGGCCAGGAGCTACAAGTTAACGGGCTGGGAAAACTTATGGAGATTTAGGACAAAGAAACAGTGAATGAAATGAAATGAAATGAAATGTAATAGACGTTTTCATGAATGTGGAAAGTTTTGCAAGGGACTTTTAAAAAAGTTGGTAACTCTATTTTAGGGAATACATTCCAATTTTCATACATCTCTTGCCAAATTACAGCAGGAAATGTCAGGGGATCCAGGTATTGCCAAAAAAACAAAAAACAAAAAACCAGAGCCTGCAGAGTATATAATGTATTCCTTAGAGCTCATAAATTACACGTAATTCTTCTATGCTTTAAATTGTATGGTAATTAAGTGATAATGTCCAAAGCTAGTTTAAAGTTCCAAGCCTGAACTTTTGGCACTATGTAATATGGTACACGAAGGTTTTCAGTGGATGATAAGAAAAAGGATCACAGACAGTACAAGCCTCAAGGTTTAGGTGATAAAGCCTGAAATGGGAAATTCTTTTTTTTTTTCTTTTTTCCTGGAACTGGAACTTCCTACTTAGGGCTGAATTTATACCACATCCTTTTGTTATAGGTGCATAGTGACAGAATCAAAATACAGATTACAGAATCACACTGTGTTCAGAAAACTACGTTTGTAAGACATGTGGAATAAAGATGAATCTCTTATGATCTCTGTTAAAAATGGAGGAAGGGCACGAGTGAAATAATGCCTCAGAAATAATACATTCAAGTTTGTCTGCATTACAGTTGCGAAGTGAGACTCCCAAGTTACTTTCTTACAACTTACAAAGGTTGTCAGAGGATTCGTTGATGTTAATTTTTTAGACCCAAGGTTTACAATAAACAAACTATCTTTATTACCAATTTTGCATTAAAAACACATGAATGAGCTGCTAAATAAATATAAGTAACCACATGTGGTCTTGAGATTTGTCCATAAAATAAATTGAAATATTCAACAACCATTCAGCCGGATGGCATTCTTCCAGATTATCTTATCAAAACAGCTGTTGTCTTAGAACTCTGTAACAACTAAGAGGCTTAAAATTCGAGTGTGTGGTTGGTGGGAAAGATAGCATTTTCACAGGAAAAAATCAGTCCTTTCTATTAGTAACAAACAAAATAAAGTAACTGTTGGGAACTTGTCTTTTTGTGCTAATAAAGTTTGAAAAATTACTTGCATTCAAACACAGTTCAATTAAAAGAATTCAAACAGTGTATCATAAAACTTCCCTGACAATGGATAGTGTTCTTAGGTACTTCATATGATACAATGTGTGCAATTAAACAAATTTTATTCTGATAGAATTGGACTAATTTTTACACTCTCATCAAATTCTAGGTATATTGTTTGCTTTAACATAATCATAACCATGTTTTAACAGTAATAGTTTTTATCTGTATTCAAAATCTAAACTACAATTAGATTAACTACAGTTTGTCAGGTTCTGATGAAACAGGATGAGTTAATAAAAAAACACAGCACTTCTTTAAGCTTGGATCTTGATAATTGTGAGAGTTTAGTGTATAAACATTAGGCTCTGTCATAATATGCCATGCTTTATTGTAATAAATAAAGTGTAGACAGCATGCAACTAATTCATTCAGGACAACTATTACTGTACAGAGCAGGTAAATCCATGATCTGCAGAAGATAACCTTATTGTATATAAGACAGACCTTATGAAGAGGCCAAACTATAATGGGAAAATACTGTTAAACTGAACAAGTCCCATGCTACTTACTGAATAACATTTCAGCAAAAGTTAGTTTAATTATGACTCTCATGAAAGATAAAAACTTCCATAGGGTATATGCTGTCAGGATGTTCAAGAGTTTCACTTACAAGTATCTATGTCAGCCTTCAACATAAAATATACGATTATCCTTTTTGCTGTTTTAAAAGTACACCTGAAGATCACAATGGATAAAAAAATCCATGTAACTAAATATTACACATCATGTTACTATATTAATAGATCACAATTAAGAAGCAGAAACTAAAATCAAGCAACGCATTCCACGCAGTCCTTTCAAACAATTAACATTATGTCCAATTACATGGCTGAATAATGCACTTTTTAGCATCCAATAGTCTTTAGCCTTGAGAAATCTCCTTTTCTGAAACCAAGCTCTTTGAAGTATTCTAAACTAAAAAAAAACCGTACACACACACACACACACACCCCAGGTACAGAAGCTATGGTAGCATTCTGTTCTCACCCACATTTAGCTACATATTTTGTTAATGTAAATAAAGATAGATTTGGATTTATCTCTGTGAAAGCCCCTTTTCAGTTCTTCCTGCCTAGCGATAGTTAGTGATGAGGGTTTTTCCTCCTAGAAAGTTATCAGTCTTTTTGATAGCATATGAACTTTTACTTAGTTTAGACTTCTTCTACAATTTTTACTCTATTGTAATTGAATCTAGATGGAGATTCAAGTTTTTTTAATTGTTAAAAAGTGCCAATTAAGCATATGCTTTTTAAAACCACCTCAAATGCCTAGAGTTAGGCCATTTAAAGTATGAATAAACAGATAAACAGTAACACCATGCCTTGCTTAAATAAATGAATGACACAGAAAGGAAAAAATGCAAATAGCCATTTTTTTCCCTAGTTTATATGAATTGGAAGGAAAATTGAAGGGTATTTTTCTAGCTGTTTTATATGTAACAACTGTTACAAAAAAGCTCTAAGAAGTAACATGTTGATTAACTTGGTACTATATAGTATGGATTGTAAATTTAAATTATAAATTTGGATTTAATTAGTTTGCATTCTATATTATTTCAAATAACATTTATTTATCTAATCTGTATCTTAATTCCCTCATATTGTGCAGCAAGCAGGTAAGGAAAGGTGTAGGGAGAGAGAAAGAACAATGCTAACAGCTCAGAACTAGCATAAGAAATGGGCTAGATTCCTAAAATTTGGGCAGTTTGTTCTCAGTCACCAAGCAGTTCAAATTGAAGACACAAGTACCTTAAATAAAAATATAAATACATAAACTTACTATCTCAGATCGTCCATCCCGGCATGCATTCTGAAACCTGGCCTGTCTTTCTTCATGTGGTCTGTCCCTGAAGCCAGTATATTTAATCTGCAAAGAGCAGGAGCTAAATCAAAAACTGAATCATGCCTGTTTTACAGTACCAACAAAGAGATAAGGGCAAGCCGGCAGAGATGATGATTAGAATGTGAATATTACTTTTGTGGAAGCCAAGTAAGGACAATACTCCGAAATATGGGTATGCCACTACCCATTCCCAAGTTTAAATTAACACAATTTTTTTTAACAGAATTCCCTATTTTTTACTTTACCACTTTTGTATTCAGGTGCTGCAGCAAACTATAAAAGGCAAAGAAAAATTATTGGAGTCGGGAGGAAAAAAAAAGAACACGGTTGCCCAAGAAGCAAAGAAATACATGAAGAGAGGCCTGTCCTTCTAAAATTACAGAATTTTTCAGGATGGGATTATGGCCATAAAAAACAAAATTCCAGCCATCTTCGTAGGAAAATCATGAGGCATAAACACAATGGGCAGCAGAACATGAAGAACTTTTTTTTCCAGTTAATCCGTCTATTTAAAATAAATATCCTTTGCAGTAACCTAAGAGATGATCGATTACTGATTTCATATTTTATATATAACGTTAGTGCAGATGCACATCCACATAAAGGTTTTATTGCAATAATAATCTGTGACTTGAACTGCACGTGGGTGTCTAAGGCAAAGGGAACATTCCATGTGTCTCCCATTCAACTGGGGAACAGCAAGGAAGAAAGTGAGAAGGGCCCTCATCTCCAGTAGTAGAAGTGAAGAGCATAAAGGAAACTGAACTTCTGTTTTAATTGTGTTGGTAGGATGTGAGGCAATAAACGCCAGAGATGAGTGGGATGCTAAGAATAGAAAATGAAAAAAGGAAACAGGGGCTGTATGGGTGCATAAAATAAGGAATATGCTAGAGAAAAATGTGTCCATATGGAAGTTGGGGTATATTCACAACATGGCACCTTAAGAAATACTGTAGGAAAGTTCCCACTATAATTTGTTGTTATAAATGTTAAAATAGCATCCAGCTCTCTTGTGCTAGAAAGTGATTTTTTTTTACTAATTCTAGATAATTTAAATTTGACAACTTCAGCATTTGATATTTTACTGTCACGTTGCATATTTAAGGTATAGAAATAAAAAATTACCCCCATTATATATAGGATCATCTTCAACTGAGTTTAATAAATATTAGTTGTTTGGATGATATGTACCAACACTACAGAGTTTTGTCTTAATATCAATAAACACTAAAGTAAAAAAAAAAAAGTGGTTAGATGTATACCAGGACATAACCAGTGGATCCCTTTTTATCTTTCTCCAGGAATCATTATCCACCCCTTGAATGAAACAAAAGGATGGCAAAAGCACAATTTGCTGTGCTAATATCAGAAATGCAATCAAAAACATGGGCACTTCACTCTTAATCCTTCATTTAACCATAGCTCTAATACATAATATCAAGGCTGATTTTGCGCCACTCTTCCATTGTGCGTTGTTACAATCATATTCATTTAAATTCCACTTAGAATAGAATAAAATTCAATGAAAACAGCAGAGCTTGCTTTCGAATTAACATTTGTAGAGGTGTACTGTTACCATCTTATAAAATAGTCTCATCAATTATACTCGGAGTCATAACTAAGCTGATTGTAAAGCAGATCATCTTCTTTTCAACATCATTACCCGTAAAAAGTAATCAGTACAAAAGACGAAGGTAGCCATTCCTCAACTTTCCAACTAATCAACAGCGATGCAGATTTTTTTAATGGAATGGGGGGGGGGGAGAAGTAATATTTTCTTTCTGAACAGAGGCCTGCTGATCAGTTGTGTGTACAAAACAGGAAGAAGCTTCACATCCCTAAATTCAGTAAGGATCCCCTTTAATTTTTTTACCCTTGAGGCTCATGCTATCATGTAACTGTAACTTTAAGAATTTTCCTGCATGGGGGCAGGGAGGTGAGTGGGGTTACTTCCAAGTAAAAATACTTGGAAATGGGGCTGAAATCTTATACATGATGGGTTTTATTTCAGTTTATAATTTAAACCTTCCCCAACTTCAGAACCTTCCAGAGGGCACCAAATACCATCTATCTGCAGGCTGCACAGGATTGACTACACAGGTTGGGGATGATGGGAATTTAAGCAGTACAACATCTGGAGGGCATCAATTCCCTGGAGTACAAATGACTGAGACAGGCTATAATGACTGAGACAGGCTGTAACTTTTAAAAGGTTTTTTTTCCCCCTGCACAGACACAGGATGGCAACCTGTTAATTCAAAAGCACCCCAAGCTTTCCCAGCCGAAGAAAAGTTGGATAAAAATACTTTTTTAAGAAATGAAGATAGGTAGATACCTGCACACAGCTTTTACCCGTACAAAGGAAGACCAAATGCTTCCTTTCTTTAGTTCATTTCCAGCAGGGTAGCCATTATTAGCTCTTTTCCAGCAACAGAAAAAAAGCATGCTGGTACACTTCACCGACCAACTCTTTTATTATCTGACGGAGCGGACGGCGATCCACAAGGAACCGAAACTGATGACCATGTCAGGACGGGGGTCTGACACTCAGTTCCAGCTTTCCATTGCAGGCGAGAACACAACTTCGGTTGCACAGCAGCCTGCCTGGGGAGCCAGGCTTGGGGGAAGAGAGGGGGCTTCCCAGTCTCTGGAACTGATGCAGTCAGAGGTGGGCGCCTCCAAAGGCACGACATTGCCCTGCCATTCCCTGCACATGGCTCATGCAGCTCTGCAAATCAGGAAGGCGCCAGTTTAGGGAAATACTAAGGCAAGGCAGGTGTCCGGGAGCAGAGCTTGTTGGCCACTTGTGGATGATGGGAGTTCAGTCCCAACAGCCCAACAGCTTAAGGCTGGCTGGGTTACAGGGCTAAACGTTAAGGCAGGTTTGGGATGAAAGGGGAGGATGGGAGGAGGACTCATTAGGATCACAAAATGAAGGCTGGGCTGGGAACGATGGGAGCCGAAGCCCAACATGTCTGGAGGAGGGAGAAGACAAGAGGAAGACTGGCTGGGGATGATGAGGATCAACTTGTCTGCAAATCGTCAAGTGGGGGAAGATGAGGTGGCTGCAAAAAAAATAATTGGATAATGGAAGTCTACCAGTTTTTTTGGGGGGGGGGGGGGAGAAAGGAGAAGTTGGTGGCCAGGAATAGGGCCAGAAACCTGGCTGGACACGATGAGAGTATGAAACACCAAAAACCTGCCGGGAAGGGGGTACAGGTAGTCCTCGACTTACAACAATTCATTTAGTGACCGTTCACTGAAAAAAAGTGGCTTAACACAGTTTCCCACATTTTACAGCGGCTGCAGCATCCCCACGGCCACCCGATCAAGATTCGGATGCTTGGCCAGCCAGTTCATATTTGTGACCGTTGCTGTGTCCCAAGGTCCTGTGTCCCCCTCTTGCGTCCTTTCGATAAGCCAAGTCCATGGGGGAAACCACCGATTCACTTAACGACCGGGTTACCAACAGCAGTGATTGAACTTAACATGCATGGCAAGAAAGGTCGTAAAACGGCGCAAAACCCGCCTTAAACAGAAAGTTTGGTCTCAATTGTCGTCACAAATCGAGGACTACTTGCAGTCGCTGTGTCAAAGGAAAAACTGGCGAGAGAAGTGAAAAGCCAAGCAGGGATTGGGGGGGGGGGGGGGAAAGAAGGAAGGTTGGCTGGGGATGATGGGATTCCAAACCAGCGACTGAAGTGGAGGTGGGTGGAAATGAATGGCCACGGGGAAGGTTAGTTGGGGATGATGGGATACCAAACCCGGAAACTGGGAGAAGTGGGGCTAGAGAGAGAAAGCTGGCCAGGGATGATGGGAACAGAAACCCAACGACTGGGGTGGGGAGAGGTGGAAGGAAGGACCACAGGAGGCTGGCTGGGGATGATGGGGAAGTGGGATCCGGCCACCTGGGGATGACGGCAATTCCAGGCAGAGAGCTAGAAACAAGGGCCACAGAAGGAAAGCTTGGCTGGGGAGGATGGGAATCCCGAACCCACCAACCGAGCGGGAGTCCCGCGGACCAGGCTGGGGATGATGGGACTCCCAAACCCCCAAAACTGGAGGGTAGCCTGGCTGGGGATGACGGCAATTCCACGGCTAGAAACAAGGGCCACGGAAAGGAAAGCTTGGCTGGGGAGGATGGGAATCCCGAACCCACCAACCGAGCGGGGATCCGGCTGGGGATGATGGGAGCGGGACAGCCGCCGCCGCCGCCGCCGCCCGACTTCCGCCCCGCCGCCTCACCTCGCACTCCCGACTCAGCTTCCTGAAGAACTCCTCGTTCTCGAACTTGCTCCGCTGGTCCGGGACGACGCGCGGCATGGTGCGCGGGAGGAACCGCGGCCAGCCAGCCGGCCGGCCGGCGGAGCAGCAAAGGCGTCCCGCCGCCGCCTCTTCTTCCTTCTCTTCCTCCTCCTCCCCTGAGCGCCCGGGAAAAAGCCGGCTGGCGGCGAGACAAGGAGCCGGAAAGCGCGGGAGAAGGAGGAACCCTCCCGCTTGCCTGCTCGGCCAACGGTCGCCGCCGCCGCCGCCGCCGCCGCCGCCGCCGCCTCTGAGGCGTCTCGGAGCCTCTGAGGAGATCCGAGGGGGGCGGAGGCGCCGCACGCCAGAGGAGCGAGAAAACCCGCCAGCGCTCCCCGCTGCGCGTGCGCGGCCCCGCCCACTCCCTCTCTCTTTCTCCCTCCCTCCTCCTCCTCCTCCTCCGGCCGCCCATTCAAGGGAGGGGGAGGAAAAAAAAAAAAAAGGTATAGGACAGGGAGAGCCGCGCCGAAGGGCTGCCCGAGGGAGGACGGAGGGGGGGAAAATGGCCGGGGAGCGCGCATGCGCGGCGGTGGAGGAGAGGCGCGCGAGCGCGCGTGTGTGTTCCGAGAGCATCTCAGCGTGGTCTCCTTTCTCAATCCCTATCTTTTTTTTTTTCTTTTCTTTTCTTTTTTTTTCGGGGTCCCGTAGTTTGAGAGAGTGGAGTGGGTGACTTTCCAAGCCAGGGGAGTGGGAAGCCCACTTTTATTATTATTATTATTATTATTATTATTATGGAGTTCCCACCGTTTTCGCTGTGTTCGTCACCGGCCGAGTCAACCGGATCGGAGGAGAGGTAGCCTCGTGTGAAAGTTGTGCAACGTGGTAAAAAGTTATTTGGGGGGGTTGGTTCGTTCGAGGTGGCGTGGTGGGAATCGAGAACAAGGGGTTGTTTTGGAGGTTACGCGTGTTGGGCGAAACCGTAGCAGCGTCATCGGCCGGACTGGACTTCCGAAGAGCTACACGCGGCTTTTCAGCGGGTCAGCGAAAGCTGCCCGGAGGTTGGATACATTCACACGTGTTTGTGGAGAGTCTCTGTTATCTCCAGGTCATGGTTATCCCAAAAGTGCTTCCGACCCCCACCTCCAAGAGGCAACTGGACTTTCAGCTCCGAGCTGAAGAAGCTTCTTGGATGAGAAGCGAGACGTCTTCAAAGAAAAAAAAAACCAGAAAGTCCAGTTGTCTCTTGGAAAAAAAAAAAAGAGGCAACTTTGGGATTCACACGTGCTGCGCTTGACTCGCGTTCACCTCGCTTTTTCGAGTGCAACTTGTAATTGCGTTGGTCTAGAAAAAGGAGCCTGGCTGCGGAGGATGGGGACGCAGAGATGGGGGGAGGGGCGGCCACTGGAGAAATGGGGCCGCTTCTTTGCAAACTCGCTTTGTGTTGTGTTGCGCACGTGCTTGGCACAGACTCCCGACTCAAACTTAACTTTTTCTTCCCCAATGCAAAACTGGACGATTATTCCCACGCTTGTCCCGATCCCCCGCCCCCCAGTTCCACGAGTTGCCCCACGTCAGCACAAACCCCTTCCCGTGTTTTGGACTCCAATTCCCATCGCCCGCAGCTCGGCACCAGCATCACACTATTGGGGGTGTGCGTGTGAAAGTAACTCTTTTCCTACCCCGGCTCTGGCCACTGCACAACTCCTGCACGGGTAGGTTCCCCCCCCCCAACCTGTAACCTTGACTTACGACCCCAGCTGAGCTCTCAACATTTCTGTTGTTAAAAGTGATGCCTGGGTTACAAGTTGAGTTTCACTCCTGTTTTACCACTTTCCTGGCCTCGGTTGTTAAGTGAATCACTGCAATTGTGAAGTTAGTAACATGTCTGTTAAGTGAATCTGGCTGCCAGAAGGTCGCAAAAGGGGGATCACAGCCACCATCGTAAGTACGAGTCAGTTGCCCAGGGACTGAGTTTTAATCACTGCAACAGTCATAAGTCGGAAAAAACGGTCAAGTCACTTTCAATCCGGTTGTAACTGAACGGTCACTAAGCAAACTGCCATAAGTCAAGGACTACCTGTACTTTTGGGGGGGAGGAAGTGGGAAGTGGATGGTTGCTATTGCGAGTCCCAACTCCAGTTGGGACTCCTCACTCGTGAGGAAGCACCATCTCCAAAACTTCCACCGGGCCCTTTTCCTCGCCGTTGAAAAAGCGAGACAGCCGCCGTAACTTGGAACACTGGAAGCTTTTAAGAAGAGATTGGATAGCCACTTGTCTGAAGTGGTGTAGGGTGTCCTGCCTAAGCAGGGGGTTGGACTAGAAGACCTCTAAGGTCCCTTCTAACTCTGTTCTATTCTGTTCTATTCTGTTCTTTCCTATTATGTTCTATTCTATTCTATTCTATTCTATTCTATTCTATTCTATTCTATTCTATTCTAATCCTATCCTATCCTATCTCCTATCCCTTATCCCTTCCCATCCCATCCCTATTCGGCATTCTGTTCTGTCCTATCCTATCCTATCCTATCCTATCCTATCCTATCCTATCCTAATGAACCTCAAAGTATCTCCAGCCCAGTGATGGGATTCAATTTTTTTACTACTGGTTCTGTGGGCGTGGCTTAGTGGGCATGGCTTGGTGGGCGTGGCAGGGGAAGGTTACTGCAAAATCCCTATTCTCTCCCCATCCCACTAGCCTGCTTTCCAGCTCCGTTCTCCTGTGCAGGGCAACCAAAGAAGACCCAGCCGATCAGCTGGGACTCAATGGGAGGCAGAGAAGAGATGGGGGCCGAGATGGGGGCGGGGCCAGTCAGAGTTGGGATTTGCTGGTTCTCCGAACTACTCAAAGTTTCCGCTACCGGTTCTCCAGACCTGGTCAGAACCTGAAGAATGCCACCTTTGCCCCAGATTCTGGCACTTGGCAACCAGTGTGTATTTATGACAGTTGCAACATCCTGGGGTGGTGGTCACATGGTCGGCATTTGGGACTTTCCCAACTGGGCTTCCAACATGTGAAGTCAATGGAGGGCTGGGCTTGGTTTAATGACCAGGTGATTAACTTAGCAACGGTGGCAAAAAAAAAAAAAAAAGGTTCTAAAATCAGGTGCAACTCATTTAGCAACTTCCTTGCTTAGCAACAGAAATTCTGATCCTGTTGTGCCCGTAAGTCGAGGACTCCCTGAACCCTCTGCATTTCAACGATACCCCCTCCCCCTCCCCCCAAATCTTGGGGCTTAAGCCACAGGCCATGCTGAACACTCCCTAAAAGCCCCTTCGGCCTGACCCTGCGCAGCATTTCCACCCAGGTGAGAATCCCAGGTGCCTCTCTCGCTGCCTCTACTCCTGCCCGCCTTTGCACGCTGCTCTTCTCTCACGACCAGGCAACCCCACGCAAAGCCCGGCCTTAGCAACCAGCAGAAGCAGGACGTGAGTCGCTGCAAAGCAGGAAACAGGAAATCCAGCAGACAAGGCGAGTGTGTGTGTGTGTGTTTGTGTGTGTGTGCGCGCGCGCGCGCGCGCAAGAGGCAGAAAGGGTGCCAACTCATACCGAAAAGCAGGACGTGCAGGGTTGCGCGCGGGATAGGGCGCAAGAGCGGCTGCTAAGATCCCGCTTTTCGCCTGGCTTTTCCCGGTTTTGCAACGGGCAGCAGCCTGGGACCCCCGACCTATTCTCCTCGCCCTCTGCAAACTCGGTCCTCCCCCGTCTCCTCCCCCGGTGGAGTTAGCTTCTTTCGTCGCGAGTACCGACCCGCCCCAGCGTGGATTTCCCCCACGCAAGCCAGCCCCACCGACCCGAACGAGGGGATCGACGCCGAACAGCCCGATCCTACGCGCCACGCAGCAAAGGGAATTAGAAGAATCGAATCGAATAAAATAGGAAAGAATAGAATAACGTAGAATAGAATAGGTGGGATGAAGGATAAGAATAGAATAGAACAGAATAGAATAAAATAGAAAAGAATAGAATAAAATAGGAAAGAATAGAATAGAAAAAAGAATAGAATAGAATAAAATAGGAAAGAATAGAATAGAGTAGAATAGAATAGAACAGACACACAAGGAATTTGTTTTGGTGCAAATGCTCTCAGTGTACATAAAAAGAAAAAAAATACCTTTGTCAAGAATCATAGATATATTAATAGTAGTCAAAGAGTACACATAATCAAATCATACTAGGAAACAATAAGTGATCGAATCAAATCAAATTAATACTAGTAAACAGTCAATTTAAAAAATCATAAGGATACAAGCAACAAAGTTACATTCATGCAGTCACCAGTGGGTGGAGATCGATGAAAGGAAGGACAGAAGGAGTAATAGTGATAGTAGTGCAGACTTAGTAAATAGTTTGACAGTTTTGAGGGAATTATTTGTTTAGCAGAGTGGTGGCGCTTGGGAAAAAACTATCCTTGTGTATGGTTTCTCTGGTGTGCAATGCCCTATAGCAGTGATGGCTAACCTTTTCCACATTGCGTGCCCAAAGTGCGCTCATGTGCCTGCACCCATGATGCAATGCATGCGCAACTCCCCCGCCCTCCCGCACATGTGAACCCCCCACATTGCACTGCTGTGCACATGTGCACACAACTCCCCGCAGCCGCATGCCTCTGCGCATACACACACGTCGCCCACAAACGCGTCTCCCATCGCGCATGCGTGGCAGATCCCCAACAATCAGCTGGCTGGCGTGTGTGTGTGTGTGTGTGTGTGTGCATGGTCAGTGGGGCTCTTCCGGGCGACCTCTCGCATTGTCGGCAGAAATGGCTCTGTGTTCCACTTCTAGCATGCGTGCCATAGGTTCGCCATCACGGCTCTATAGTGTGAGGAGTCCTGCTGTGAGTCCTTCTTTTTTATTTTTTTAATGCCATTGTAACTTTGGTTGCTAAGCAAACCAACGGTTATAAGCTGCCGAGTACCCGTATTTGCAGAAAACCAAGGTTAGGCTTGTCCAGATGTTGCAAGCTGGGTCCTGCAAAGCGAACAACCTGCCCTGCAGCCTCGTGAGTTGTGCGAACCCAAGCTCTGAACATTTACTTGAGTGTCATTCAATATCCCCCCCCCCCCCCAAGTTGGCCGATTTGATCAAACCGCAGTTTGGCTCTCCCCTCAATAATTATCTTGTGTGAACAAAGCCTCCACTGTCTATTGTGTTTGCCTCAACAGACCACAGTTATCCCTCTGGAAATTGGCAGCCGTGGATGTGTTCCTACAACATGCTTGATTGCTGAATTAGCCCATTGTCTGGCTACGTACAAGCCACTGTAGCCTAAGCCAACTAAATGCCTGGAGTTCACTGGTTAAACTAACTCAGGTTAATGTGCAGATGCTACTGGGTTTT